ACCACATCTCTTCCTTGCTGCCTATTCTGATCCTTTGCCTGTACCGACCACTTCTTTGCCTGCCGCCTGGACTGACCTCTTTCTAGATTACTGATCCTGTTTTGCCTGCTGCCTAAACCGACCTCACATTACCGACTATACCATGCCAGCTGTCCGGCTCTACTCTAAGCTGTCTGGCTCTACCCTAGCTTAGAAGTCAGCAATCCTCTTGCCATCGCCCTAACCACAGATACTCTCCATTCTACCCTTGCTCAGGGCCCATTCACATCATCCAGCGAGTTAATCTCACAGTGCCGTGGCATGAACACACTGGACCGCTTAATCAGATCTTCCACATGTTCTGGGGAGGGAGGGGGCGTTCAGAAAACCGTTCAGGCACCACAAACATGCCTCCCGCCCCAAGTGCAATCACCCGCGTCAGAAGGCATGGTACCGCAATGACTTGCGTTCCAGTGTGGTGTGATTGCAAAAAATAGTGCATGCATGGTTTTTGCACTGATAGTGAAGCACCATGCTAGCTTTTTGTTCTTCAGTATGAAGTTAATTTCTCAGTCAACCTAGCTTTTCCTTCAGGTGTCTCCAAAGACATTAAATAGTCAAGATTATGCTCTATTGTATGTAAGCACTTTAAAAACTTTGGCTGTAGGATGATTTTTTCACAAGAAAAAAGAATAATGTCTGCTGTAATGTTACACATTAGGAGTGATTGCTACAATTAGTTCAAAACCATGGGCAACTTTAAGAAACATCGGTTTATGATTAAACAATAGCAAGTTGAGATATTTGCTTATGAGGGTTATAGGGCTAAACCGTGTTAGTACAGAGTGAAGTTTGAGGCAGTGAAGAACCCCCTTAAAGTAATTCTGTTGCATTCAACACTGAAGTGTTAAATGATGAACATTCTTTAGTACAACTTGGGTCTTTTAACGTAGCGTAGGTCCACAGGAAAGAAAAATAAAATAGTATGCTGTGAAAAAAATATGCACAGCAATGCATTAAAAAAATGCATGACAACGTGCGGCAACTTTAGGGCGTGAATCCAGCCTCAGTATTCATTGTTTTTTTTGTAGGGATGACCAAATTTCATTTTTTAAATAATTGTATTGACTAGAATTTTTTTATGGATGGGGGTGCATCCAGTTATATGGACAGTATCATGTAAGGTTTCTGTCTTACTGTGAACAATATAAAATAAAAGATATACAGAAATAGAGCTCTTGCTAAAATGTATGTTTGTATATTAGAGTAGGCTTAAACATTTTGCCTTTACTACTATGAGAGGCAAACTGCCTGGAATATTTTGCAGTATAAATGAATACAAATAGACTCTGCAACTTTCATGTAACGTGAGGAACATACAGAGTACATTGTTAAAATAAGAGATTCAGCACAGTTTCAGCAGACATAGCAGATAGACAAGAATAAACTTTTCACTATCACTCCTCCACTAAAACTATCACCTCCTTTTCTGTCTTTTAAATATTAAATATTGTATTACTTGTAATATGCAGATACTTTGAACAAGCTATTTATATTGTGTTCCTTTCCTCCTTTTATTCACCAGTTTCTTCAAAGGAGATGAGGATAATGCGGTAATTAACCGAGAGCTTAGCTCACTGCAGTGAATATATCTGCATTTATCAATGTACTGAGAACCTTGCTTGTACCTACAAATTGTTACAAGACATAGCAAATTTCTAAACATCACTTGAACAGCCTCACTGCTTTCTATAAGCAAAATGTAACTTTTGCTGTTAGGTGCTGCATTTGTTGTCCCTAAGGCCCACTTCACATTCATGGAACACACGGTAACACAACATAGTTGTGTGGTACGTCACTGTGCCAATCATTTAGACTGGCACCCTAATGCACAGTACGGTAGTTTCTCACAGACATGCACTGTAACGCGTTGTTGTGCGCTGCGTTAAAGGTGGCGGTCTGTTCTTTTGTCTCTTTGCCATGCATTGCCAGCCAACTTGAGATTAATGGACTGCCTAAAGGCAATGGGGGGAATTTATCGCAAACTGGAATAGTTTGTTCAGTTAAGGTTTGAAAATTAAATATAGAAGAAGCTGAGTTTTGATGATTTCCCTTATTATTTATTTATTATTGGTATTTACATAGTGCTGACAATTTACGCAGTGCACATTAGTCCCTGCCCTCAAGGAGTTTACAATCTAAGATCCCCATCTCACATGCATACATACAAAGGCCAATTTAGACAGGAGCCAATTAACTTACCAGCATGGCTTTGGAGTGTGGGAGGAAACTGGAGAACCCGGAGGAAACCCATGCAAGCACAGGGAGAACATACAAACTCCTTGTAGATAGTGAACTGGCTGGCATTCCAACCAGGGACCCCCAGTGCTAGAACATTTCTTTCAATAATATTTGCATATAAAGCATATAACTAGCAATACTTACAGAGCTTTTTGAATAGCAAATATGTTGTATTGTAAAAAGAAATTGCCAGAATGCTGAAACATATTAAGTTGCTTGACACTATCTAGATAAAGATCATTTGAATTTTCCCTATTGCTCTGTTTTGAAAATTGGTTTCTGCCTATCCTATAATAAATACATTAAAATGAGACGTTTATAAAAAAAAGAATCTTTTCACCGTTAAAAGATTATTTCCATTTCTCCAAAGAAAAGGAAGTGATCTTTTAACTGTATATGCACGGTTATTTACACTCACTGGCCACTTTATTAGGTACACCTTGCTAGTACTTGGTTGTCTTCAGAACTGCCATAATTGTTTGTAGCATAGAATCAACAAGGTGCTGGAAATATTCCTTAGATAGTTTGGTCCATATTGACATGAGAGCATCACAGAGTTGCTGTATATTTGTTGGCTGCACCCCACGATGCAAGTCTCCTGTTCTACCACATCCCATAGGTGCTCTATTGGATTGAGATCTGCTGACTGTGTAGGCCATTGGAGTACAGTGAAGTCATTATCATGTTCAAGAAACCAGTTTGAGATGATGTGAGCTTTGTGACATGATGTTTTATCCTGCTGGAAGTAGCCATCAGAAGATGGGTACACTGTAGCCATAAAGGTATGGACATGGTCAGCAACACTACTCGGGTAGACTGTGGCATTTAAACAATGCTCAGTTGGTACTAAGGGGCCCAAAGCATGCAAAAAAAAATATCCCCCACACTATTAAACCACCACCACCAGTCTGAACCATTGATAGAAGGCAGGATGGATCCATGTTTCCATGTTGTTTACTCCAAATTCTGACCCGACTGTCCGAATGTCACAGCAGAAATCGAGACTCATCAGACCAGGCAACGTTTTTCCAATCTTCTATTGCCCAATTTTGGTGAACCCTTGAGAATTGTAGCCTCCGTTTCCTGTTCTTAGCTGACAGGAGTGGCACCCGGGATGGTCTTCTGCTGCTGTAGCCCATCTTCTTCAAGGTTTGATGTGTTGTGCGTTGTGAGATGCTCTTTTTCATACCTTGGTTGTAACGAGTGGTTATTTGACTTACTGTTCCCTTTCTATCAGCGTAAACTAGTCTGGGTATTCTCTTTGACCAGCGAAATGCCGCTCACTGGATATTTTCTCTTTTTTCAGACCACTCTCTGTAAACCCTACATGTAAACCCTTCGCCCAGAGAAATGCCGCTCACTGGATATTTTCTTTTTTTCAGACCACTCTCTGTAAACCCTACAGATGGTTGTGAAAATTCCAGTAGATGAGCAGTTTTTGAAATATTTAGACCAGCCCGTCTGGCACCAACAACCATGCCATGTTCAAAGTCACCTAAATCACCTTTCCTCCCCATTCTGATCCTTGGTTTGAACTTCAGCAGATCATCATGACCACGTCTACAAGCCTAAAGCTGGCCATACATCTTACAATTATCTGCAGATTTTCTGTGGTCAGATGGAAAAGGTGCAACAGATTCCTCCATCTACACTGAACTGTGTGGATGGAGTAATCTCCACCTGGGCCAATCTGTTGCACTTTTCCCATCTGACCACAGAAAATCTGCAGATAATTGTAAGGTGTATGGGCACCTTAAATGTATTGAGTGGCTGCCTTGTGATTGACTGATTAGATATTTGCGTTAATGAGCAGATGAACAGGTGTACATAATAAAGTAGATAGTGAGTGTATGTATCTCCTGATATATATATATGCATTTCCTAGCCTAAAATTGTGCAAAATGTTTGGAAGTGCACCATTTGTTATGACAATGTGCTGGAAGTAAAATGGTTAAAACCCGTTCACACTAGCCGCCCACTAGCTGTAGGTAGTGGTGCCATGTGTTGTTATAACACAAGGCTTTGTTTCCTTTTTTTTTTAACCTTTATTGAAGCGTCAGAGTGACATTTCATGCATTCTTATGCAGAGCAAATGTATGTGGACCTCAGGTGAGCTCTGGTGGTTGCGGAACACTGCAGCATACCTGCATTTTTCCACCATGCACTGCAACCCACCTGAAGGCAGCTTTGCAGTGTGAGCCAGGCACATAAAAAACAATTGTTTTCTATGTGCCCTTGCGGTGGCTGACGTTGATCAAGTGAAGAAACACTTGCACAATGGGTAGTATTTTCACACAATACTAAGAAGCTACACAGAAAGTAAAGTGAGATCTCTCAAATACTTTAGTTCCTATGAAAGATCTGATGCCCTAGGGTCACTAAGAGTTCTCTAAACTTGTTAACTTAGGTTAGTCATCCTGCTGGTTTTTGTAACATTGAGACCGCATAGAAGCAGATCCCAACTCCACCTCTGCCCCATTTGATTTCATTGCAGCAATGTAACCACACAAATTTTCACAAATCTGGAATATGCCTCAAGATCATATCGCTTAGCACATGGACTGAATGAGGCTGAAAACTGAGACAAACCATATTCAGTTATATTAGTAGGACTACCAACTTCTGCCTTAAGATACTATAGATATTTGTTATGCGCTTCTTCACTTAATACCTAGTCTTTCATGACTAGAAAAAATATTTAAAGTAGTGCTTCAACTCACCTTATAATGGAATAAAAAGAGACCGCAGAAAAATGTGTAGAGTTCTGCCGTTAAGACGGAAAGGTTGATTGCAGTTGCACTGGTTTTCTTTATAACCACTGGCATGAAACTATACAAGCCAAACATGCAGGCTGTGAATCCCACATAGAGCAGCCCTGTGAAAATATTAGGAGGCATACCATTTCAGTTGATATATTTTTGTCATTTATTTCAATGTATTTTTAATAATTATTGCTGCCTTTCATTATTTGTGTTTGACTGAAAGCATACTCTAAAGCTCTACTTTCCATAAGAATAACCTAGCCAGTGTTAGAAAAATAAATATATATCACCATATTCAGCCATCCTCATTTATTCTTAGTAGTAGTAAATAGAAATCCTCCCTCTGCTTATAACTCTTCCATGCAGCAGAAAGGGGATCTTATTTTGTAATAACAGAACCTCCACTGGGAATCCAATGTTTCCTTTGCTTTGAAGACTGTTCACATGCTATGGTGTTGATAGAGAATCATATTTTTATTGCCTGGCCACAATTCCAGACTCCATGTCAATCTGTATTTACAGGTCATGGCAGGAGAACAATGTGGAGCTACAGCAAAGATACTGAAGCATCCCTCTAATGTACATAACCTTGTTCTTTTGATGACAATGGATAATAATATACCGGTTTGTGTGATCTCCACAGTTTTTTGTCTATCTTTAACAGTAATATTAAAGGATAATTAAAGCCTCCGTTTTTTTTTTTTTTGCATAGATCTACTACTAGCAAGCAGTAGATCTATGCAAAAAGTGTAAAAAAAAAAAACAACAAAAAAAAACCGCTTTAACAGAGGTTAATACTCACCTGTGTCTTCCCTGCGCGCGCTCCCTTCCGAAAATGTTAAGATCCTCGGGCAGCCGCAAAGCATCTTGGGGCGGGCGAATGCGCAGTTCACATTTTCGGCTGGGACGCGAGGAGAGACACAAGGTAAGTATATGGACGCGTGCACCCGCATGTAGACACCGTGGGACAGGAAGTGCCAGCAAGCTCAGAGGAGTCAGCGCTGGATCGGAGACCCACAGCAGCGCTGGAGTGACAGATGAAAAGGACAGGAAAGAAGAAGATCGGATTAAGAAACATTATTTAAGGTAAGTGCTGACATTAACATTGGGGGAGGGGAAAAAATGACTTTATTGTCACTTTAAGGCTCATTTGAATTAAGAGGCCAAATAGCTTTTGTTCTAGGGTCACCAGGAAAAGTAACCCAAATAGATTTGCCAATAGATTTGCTTGAAATGCTTCCTAATCCCCTTGATGACCAGGAAGTAGTGCGAACCCTCATAACCTTGTTCTTCAATGATATTCCCAGATCTTGGTAAAATTAAAGGAAACTTGTCATGGGAGAAGTATGGGGGCTCCTATTGCTGACTTTCTTCTAAAAATTCCCCTTGTATGGCTTTAATAATTTGTAATTCAATGACCAGTAACAAATATTCAGATTAGGCGTGCCAGAGAAAAGTCCTTATCTGTATAATCGATTTTCAAGTCAAGTATGGAAGTATGTGGGGCCAGTATAACAGCCGCAATAATTTTTTTGAGCATCCAGAAATGGCTGCCTCCATTTTTTTCTCATGACATGCGTCCTTTAAAAAAAAAACCTGTCACTTACTTTAAACTTAAAGCAATTCAAAACCTAAGAACAAAAATTACATATATTGCAGCCTACCTGTCCTTAGGTGTGGTTGCTGCAATAGTTTTCACTTTTCTGCCCTTTTTCCTTTTATTTTACTTGGTAATCCTGCAAATAATAAATTTCCTGTACTAAGCGGCTACACTCACTCACTGTATCTTTAGAGGAAGTGACAGTCATCACTGTATTCATCTCTATTACATGGGGATTACAATTCAGCTCACAAGAAGTGAAAAGGACACTGCATTTCCAAAATCAAGAGGTATTTTCCATATTTGCTGAAAATTTGTGAATTTTCAGCACATTCAGGAAGCCAGGAGGTGGGTCATGATGTGGAAGCCGGCTTCACTTGTTGCTAGGCAGCCTGGCTTCCTGACCAATCAGGAAGCCGGATGGCACCTCATGACCCGCCACCCAGCTTCCTGATTAGTCAGGAAGCCAGGCAGCTTCGGCAAGTGAAGCCGGTATTCTTTTGATGGAACAACTTCCTGATAATCAGGGCGCGGCACTGGTATCGGTACTCTGTATCGACAGAGTACCGGAAACAAAAATATTGGTACTCGAGTCGTACTCAAAACCAAAAAAACAGTATTGGTGCATCCCTACTGAAAATGTTCTTAGCCTGAAAAATTTAAACTAATGCAGCCACCACACAGGACTGGTAAACTGCAATATAATTTTTTTTATTTTGGGGCTGAAACGTTGGCCAAAGTTCTTTAACATTTTAAACCCCAATTGCTAGACCCTGATTTCCTCCGCTTCTTTTTTCAAAATGAAAAACATTGCTTGTACAATAAATTTGTAATGTATAATTTGAGCACCTTTACAAATTATTCTTAATGGTACAAATCTTACACTGGAATACAATTGCTTATACAATCAAAACTGGGCCCTTTACATCTAGCATAGCATCAGGCCACTTTTGGCTTAAGTACCGTAGTGACAGAAGTACCGTAGCGGGAAAGCACCAGGGAGGTAGGGAGGTAGGTACCTGAGCATTTTTTTGTTCAATGCTACCTGGGGATAATAAAAAATAATTAAATAGCCCAGAGTTAGGTTTTAATGTAGCCATGCTAACAACCAAATACCATGTGTGTGGCAAAAAAACATGGAGTCTGTTCCAAAGGACAGCAGCATTTATATATGCCCAGGACAGCTGCTTTACATCTCCTAAATATATAGAGCTATCATTAAAGTGCTTGCAATGTCATTCCCAGAAAGAACACACTTAAAATGTAGAGTAAATAAAGCAGTTAGCATATTCCAATATACAGTATATAAATAAAATATCTATCTTGCATGCAGGCTGTTGTGCTATTACCTATGTGCACATATAAACAACACTGTAATGTAAGGAGTGAAAAAGATCTATGGCTTTCGATGTGATTTATTTCCTGCCAATGTGCGGACTAGTTTGAGGAAACACATTTCAAGTCTTGCTCTATTAAGTAGTAGCTTAGGCAGACATAGATATATGGTTGTGGAGACAATTTACTGCTATCTCATTTGTGTGTTTTATGCATACCGGTAGTTTGCTCTAGGCAATTTTATTTTATGGGAATTATGCAGTGAAATTTTGCCTACGTATTTGTGTTTTTATGGTCATTGCTGTTAATAGTCTCTGTATTCTTGTGGTTGCTGTTAGGGGAAAGTGTCATCCTGGGTGATTTTTATTCCCTCACATGGGTCTCCTCCTGATGCAGTTCCCTGTCTCCGATATAAGTGCAGTAAACGTTATATAAGCCAGTAGGTGGAGAGCTCATTTAGGAAATGTTATGAAGCGGCTCCAGCTTTGATAAATGGCAGGGTCTCTGCTCATTGTTTAGCTAAGCATTATGATGACAAAATTGAAATGCCTTACCTATTTGCCAGTCCCAAGGTACCTTTAACAACTCCTTGTGTTCCATTATTGCTCTGAAAGACAATATATTGTTTTTATAGACAAGTCAATCTGAAATAGGACAAATCAACAAGAAAATAAAAAGGGATGGAAATTATTTTACTGGTACACTGAAAGCGGGTACATTTCAATAAGGGCGCAAAAGGGCAGGAGCACGCCAAGAGACGTGCATGTAATGGAGCTTGGACCGTGGTGCTGCAAAGAAGGTCATATTATCCCTGGTGCTATAAGCAGTCAAAAAAAACCTTGTACTAAAGAGAAGAACCTTGTTATGGTAATTAGATCAATGTTGTCTTACATATTCCTTGTCCGAATAAAATGGCGTGGTATAATGCTGAACCCTAATGGGACCAATATTACTTATAACCTAAATCAGTGCTCATGTGTTTGTTTCGTACAAAAATATACAATGTGGGATGTAAAAGGTTAAAGAAGAAGCTATTTAAAATAAAAACAGTCCCCTCCCCGGATCTTTTAGCCATAATGTGTTAGTGTGCACAGCATATTAGTACGTTCTAGCAGCCTGCCAATGCTATCAATACCGATCCCCTCCAATTATCCACTTCTTCCCCATTGGCACTTCCGTCTTCACTTCAGTCTTCCAGGTTTCGAGTGTTCGGCCACTTGATTGGCTGAGCCCCGATGACGTAACTTATGTGCAGGCGCTCATCTTGGGTCTGTGGACTGAGCTGCACATGTGCGGCACAGCATACAAAAAAAAAAAAATCCGAATGGTAGAAAGAAGCTTTTATGGCAGGAGAGACTTACACAGTCTCTTCTGCTATAGAAAGCCTGCTGTTTGACTTTTTTTTTTTTACCTTTTTACTTTATATCTAATTTTGCAAACCTGACATGGGCCCAGTAAAGACATATTTGTCATGTCACTTATGTCTTAAAGTGACCCTAACTAGAACATTACTAATCTTAGCGCATCTCTGCCTTCTCTGTAACATATGAAATAATTATAAACTGCATCACTGTGACATAACAAAATGAAGACAGACATGGCCGTTAGCATAAATCATAAAATGATTTATTTGCCTCATCTGATTATAAAAAGACGGGACAGTAAAATAATAATCTTTGTGAATGATGATTATTACCTGCCTTATGCATGGTTTCTTGAAACAAAGGAACTGTAGACAATGTTGATGCTCTGTGTTTGCAGTCCTGTATCACTATAACTAGAACATGGAAGTTCATACTATTTAACTTCAGCTGTTTGTGCACGCCAATGCATGTTGCATTACCTATACATAGCTTGAGATTCATGGAAAGCAGTGTTGGCAGTGTATTCTGACAGCTACATCTATGATAAACATCAAAGCTAATGTGACTGTAAGCTAGTTTGCAATTGGGATGTGCTGACTGCAGTACTGCTGGACTGAAGCATGCAAACTCTTCCATTGCCTGCACTGTGTTGGGGACGCAAGATAATAGGAGAACATATAATAAATACTATTTACTGAACTCGCTGGTCCACCTTATTTAAACCATGTCAGAAAAGAAGACTTACAGACTTACCCAAAACTAAAAAATGAAGAATTAAAAGAAGATATAGCACACATTAATCCTTGCAAACTAATGTTTTAACTAACAGAAGGCAATACTGAGTACTGATCAGTATAGCTGACTAGTTCAATTCTTGCTGTGGGGTGCCCCAGGACCCCTGCAGTATTCAAATGCCGAATTCAGAGATGATTTGAGGATCTACAGCCCAGTGAAACGCACACAAGCTATATTTTTGTTAATAGTTAAGGCTTAAAGGAGAACTATGAGGTGAGTGATTTTCACTCATCCTCATAGTTCGAGCCGACATGTGACAATGAAACTGTCACACGACGGCTCAATGGATCGGGAAGTCAGCGAACACATACCATCGCTCGCTCACTTCTCGATCCTGTGCCGGCAGCCCTCTCCTCTAATGTCACTTTGCTGCAACGAACGAAACAAATAAGAAACGAAAACGAACGAACTAACGCTAACGAATTTTGGAATGGAAATTCGGATTTGTTTGCATTCGTTATATCTGTAATTCGGATACATCCGAATTTCCGAAAATGCGTCCGAATTTCATTTCGGAACGAAACGAATCGCACGTGTCTACAGGGCAATACCCGCTCCTTTGTTCCGTGCAGCTGCAGGGCAGTAATGCCCTGGCCACAGCTGACTGGGCTGGTTGGTGGATGTGCCACGGACGGTTTTGTTCGGGCTTGGTGCACCAGCCTTTGCTCATTCCAAGATATGACTGTCAAAGCAATGGTATAAACCTGGCCATACACTGTTCTTTTTTTTTTTTTTTTCATTCAACGCATGGGCTGAACGGAAAAAAAAAATTAGAACAGATTTATCAATTCATGATGGATGAATTGACCCGCTGTTTCCTTTGTATTCCGGCAGCACCGCTGGCCAAATACAAAGGACAGTTGATTGGCTGCAAACACTGTTTGTTTGAAGATTTACCAACCGGCTCTTTCGATCTTCTGATCGAGGGATGCTGGCTAAAAGGGTGCCGACAGCGGCACCCAGTGTGCAAAATTCAGAGTTCAAGAAGAAACGGACGAAATTTGCATAGTGTATGGCCAGCTCTAGCATGCACTGACTGACAGGCAATGATCTTAAAGCAGGCATAACACAAACAGCTATTATTCTGGCTCCCTGGTCATCTAATATGCATTTTAGCAGCCTGAGTTCAAATTGGGTTATACGGTATATAGCACACTAAACAGCTGCCATAAGAAACTATATGAGAAAGTTTTTTTAGACTGAAGTCTATTGTGAAAGTGTTGCAGCATTGTGATTAGAAATCAATCCTGGTAATTAGTACAGGAATCTGCCCCAAGCCCGTCTTGGCCTTTTTTTTAGTTATTAGGTTATGTGTGCAGGTAAAAACAAAACAATTTAATTCTGAAACAAGTGTTCCTATATTATATTGCTGGTTGATTGTACAGTATTAAATAGGTAGGTGGAATAGGTTTCCTGAACCCTGTAACCATACGCTATCATTTATTAAAGTACATTCACTTGCAGCTGGATGCAGAACATGAAAATTCACTTTCTGAAAGTGCTTTTTTTGCATTAAGATAGTAATTGCAGCAATGCTCCTGAGATCTTATTGTAGATTATGTTTGAAATGGACCTTCATCTTCTTAAAGGTGCCCACACACCTTACAATTTATCTGCAGATTTTCTGTGGTCGGATGTAAAAAGTGCAACAGATTGGCCCAGGTGGAGATTACTCCATCCACACAGTTCAGTGTAGTAGGAGGAATCTGTTGCACCTTTTCCATCTGGCCACAGAAAATCTGAAGATAAATTGTAAGGTGTGTGGGGAGCTTAACATGTAAACAGATGCTGAAATCACAGAATACCATAGAGCTGATTGTATGCACCTTGAAAGCTGAACTCAACATAAACAGCAAATTACACAGATGAAATACATGTATGAGAGCTGGGTTATAGCTGAACTTTTGTCTAAATATAAGAGGCATGTTTATGCTTTTGTGAATCTTGATGTGCTTTGTGTATCTCTTCCAGATCTCTGCAGTAATCCAGCATAAAACTTTACCTCTGTTCAAGATGCTCCTATATTAAAGACTAGCCATTGCTGCCCTCTCTCCTTGTGCAGGGTGACTGGTCTTGTATCTGCCCCTCCTGTATTTTTCTGCAGGCAGCCTGTAGGAGTCCCTCCCAGAGCTCTGTTCAGGTTATGTACCACACAGTGATGATGTCACTGCTACATTTACAAGGTAATAAAGTGGTTTGCAAAGGCATTTGGTGAACACAAAGTAGATTTATATCCTTTGTGGCTATTGAGGAATATATTTAAATTCATTTTTCATATCTGGACTTTAGCTTTAACTACCAAAGTATTTGTATTCTGTCCATTCATTCCTGCGATCTACCTAGTCCCGCCGGACAACACAGACAGGACACCTAATTCTGCAGTTAAGCAATACAACTAGATCTGGGTTCTGCCCTCCAGCCTGTGACTGGACAGTGAAGGAGAAGCATGAGTAGTGATGAGCTCATCTCACCTTGCTCTTTCTACCGATCAGCATGTTCCTTGTTATCACATGAACACTGCAGTACAACTGATTAGCTTCCGGTGCTGCTGCTTCCTCTCCCAGCCTGAGCTGCTGCCCAGGGGATTGCAAGAGGCTGATACAAAGTCAGGTACTAGTTACGTTTAAAAATCATGTTTTTTAAATAAAAAATTGCGTATAGATTGGTGTGTTATGTACCTTAAGTTCGGATTTAAAGTAAATTCTTTGAAGTTGAGGTGTTTTAAGAATCCAGATTTTAGGCTAACCTTATGGCCAATGAAAGCTGATATTCTTATATGTTTAAGCACAACTGAGGATCTCACAAATTCAAGGTAGCAAATAATTAGATATAGAGTGAATGGACATACTTATTTGAAGGAGTTCCTGTCGCCAGGCCATGCATTTCAACAACAATCTTCTTAAAAGATCATATGTGCATTTAACCTATTTTAGGCCTGTTATTTACCTGCAAAAGCTTCCCATGTGTTGACATGCAAAAGCCCTGTGAATGCTGCCGGGTGCCACCATCTTGGATGTGATGTCAGCAACCCCAGCAGACTCAGATCTGTCTTTCAATTGACAGGCTATTATTCCCCTTTGCTTCACTCTCAGCAGCTACATTAGCTTTTGTAGGGAAGTAAGTGAAGGGGTGGGGAAGCTGGGCCAGCACAGACAGTAATTGAACGCTCCCAAAAGAGGAGAGGGCTATGAAGTGCACGGAGGATGGGCTGTACTTGGGTACTGACTCTTCCTAGAGTAGTCAAATTTCTAGCAAGTTCAGAGGCACAGTACAAGTGAATAAAGAATAGTTTATGTAAAAGAAAAAAAACCTGTAAGTAACCATTTAAAATACTTGCTCTTTTTTTTTTAGGTTTCTGGCAGGGTCTCTATAAATATCAATGCAATGTTTAATGAACAGCTTTAGGGTTCATGCACACTGACGCATTACAAATACGTTTCTTTATGCC